TGTTTCACTGTGAAGGACCTCGGAGAGGCTGCGTATATTCTGGGAATAAGGATAGTAAGAAACAGAAGTAAGAGACTGATAGGACTCTGTCAGGATACATACTTGGATAAGGTAGTAAAGCGTTTTAGTATGGAAAATTCCAAGAAAGGGGAGTTGCCAATCCAAAGCAATACCAATTTGAGTAAGACTCAAAGCCCGAGTACAGAGGTAGAAATAGCTTATATGAGTCGAGTACCTTACGATTCCGCAGTTGGCTCGATCACGTACGCTATGACTTGTACTTGCCTTGATGTGGCCTTCGCTTTGAGCATGGTCAACACGTATCAGGGAAACCCTGGTAGAGTGCATTGGACTGCAATTAAGAATATTCTTAAGTACCTTCAGAGGACCAAGAAATGGTTTCTAGTCCTCGGTGGGAGTGATAACTTAAGGGTACGAGGGTACAGTGACGCTAGTTTCCAGACGGATCGGGATAATTATCGTTCGCAGTTAGGCTGGGTCTTTACCCTTAATGGAGGAGCAGTGACTTGGAACAGTTCCAAGTAGGAGACTGTGGCTGATTCAACGTGTGAATCACAGTACATTACAGCAAGTGAAGCGTCAAAAGAGGCAATATGGTTGAACAACTTCATTGGAGACCTTGGAGTTGTGCCATCCATAAAGGAGCCCATGGAAATTTTCTATGATAATGAAGGAGCGGTTTCCTTAACCAAGAACCAAGGGATCACGGTAGATCCAGGCATATCGACAGAAAATACCAGTATATCGAACATCGGGTAGAAGATGGACTCATCGTAGTGAAGAGGGTATTGTTAGAAGATAACCCAGCAGATCCCCTTACGAAGGGACTGAGCAGGGTTAAGCACTTGCAGCATGCTAGGAGCATCGGGCTGAAGGACGATGTGAGTTTAGATTAGATAGATAGGAAACGTGTAATAGATCATTTGTACTTGACATTTGATATAAATAAAGGTGTTTTATTTAAGAGTAAAGTTACTATCTTGTGTTGGTTATTTATCTATTATTTCAGTTTTGCATGTTTTGACTTCCTGAATAATAAGATTATTCAAACGATCCACAATCATTCATATATTGGAAGTAGATATGAAAGAAGATTGTCATGAATCTATTTGTAGATTGTCTAAAAGGTTTTAGACATAGCAATAGTTTGTTGCAAAGTTCATGAATGCGTATGAATTGTGATGTGAGCATTGGAATAAACTTGCATTTGCTAGTATCACTTCATGGTTTACCTCAGGTTATCGCAAAGTGATAATATCTTATAGTCTTAAAACTTAGAGATACAGTTATTGTTTGTTGGTTGGTTATGCATTGATGATGTGTAAACACATTAGCAACTTGATGTTATAAAACACATTATTGTGCATAATTTAATTAGTAAATAGTAAATGCATATGAGTCGAAGTTAATTTTTTCCTTTTATTCTAAGAGAATAAAGGTGATATCTTGGCCACTCGATGATTTGGTTTGACTTATGTGTCAGGCCCGGTCGGAACAAGGTTGATGTGTTCAACTAAGGTCTATGTCGAACAAATCAAAGATCGAGAAACAAAGTGTTGAACAATAAGTATTGTGAGCATGATGTATAGAACAAAGGATTATATGATCCCTTATCTGAAGGACGAGTTACTCATCAGAGTTGACAGCGACGTGTAAGAGCTATGATTGCTGATTGGATCCCGAAGTCATATGTGAGATATAGTTACTAGACTTATCCAAGTGGGAGACTGTTGGATTAGTGTCTAAGCCCGTAACTATATTTGGTATGTACTTGACCCGGTTGTGCATGGTCCTTTTAGGTTGTCTTCACCAAAGCAACTTAACAAGGTTATTTAGGAGAGAGAGAAGATATTATGATTTATTAATATATTATAAGAATAATATATTAAAGGAGAAATCATATTATTTGATTAATATTAGTCATAAATTAATTAGGAATTAATTTGGTGACTAAAAGAGATTAATTGAATAAAGGGGCATAAACTTTCAAATGTGTGACAGTTGAGTTTTGGGTTGGGAAACCTAATGGACTAAGCGGGAACGAAATTATGATGGGGATCCATCATATTTTCTTCCAAAGGCCCTAATCTAGAAGTTTCCATGGGTTGCTTGGTAACTAAGTTGTCTGTTAGGGTTTAGACTGAAAACCTAGCAGTCTACACTATAAATAGAGGCCCTTCGTTGCAATTTTCGGTACCTTGACTCCAAGTGAAACCCTAGGGCCGAATTTTAGTGTTCTTCCTCCTCTGTCATAATAGCCTTCTTGCTTGTGGTGTTTGTGAACCATTAGAGGAGTTACAATAGTGACTCTAAGCTCAATATCAAGAAGATTTAAAGGATTTCAAGCTAATTGAAAGAGGTAAACACTTAGATCTGTTCTTATAGTGTTGATTTCGAATTATGCATGCTAGATCTAGGGTTACAAGTCTTGGATTAATTACATGTACAATAGAGAAGCCTAGATCCAGATTTAGGGTTTTGCATGAGCCCATAGGATGTTCTTTTGCTTTAAAACCATCAGTTTTGACCTTATCTTTGGCCGAAAGCTCAACTGGGAAGAGGGATGGGGATAGTATGTGGTTTATTTGTGTATGCTCTGTAAATGGAAAAATTCAGAGTTGAAAATCGCAATGTTGTCAAATAAAATATTGAAAATACTTCAATTTCATCCAAAAAGTATAAAACCATAGCCTATCCAAAATCTTTGTTAAAACAATTTTTAAAATTCTTCTAGGAATCCAATCATAGTCATGATTGACATTCAAACCAACAATTTTCTTTAAGCACCAAGTCATATATATATATATATATATATATATATATATATATATATATATATATATATATATATATATATATATATATGAAAGCCTTTATAGGATATAGTTTTTCATAAGGACTTACATCAAGAATAACAATTAGGGTAAAGGCAGATATTACATAAATAGGAATACCCTAACATAGATGTTAATGAAATAGACTACAAAAAGGTGTTTTTACAGATTTGTCATCAAGGCGTTCAGCGAGATGCTTTATGATTTTAGGTGGAATGGTCAAATGGATGAGTACTCCAGAGATGCTACATGCCTACATCTAAAATTACTGCACCCACGTGTTTGTGTATACTTTCATCATCATCCACCAGTCAGTTACTTAGAGTAGCTAAGATGTTCAACCAAAACAATATTAAAAAATAGGGTTAAATGTGAAACATAGAAAATCAATTGAAAGATGATAACATATGGAAGATCTATCTCCGTCTCAGAAAGTGGGTTTATGAATACGATCTAGAGAACAAACCATATGTAAAAATTGAAATCGGCTTGCAAAGAAATATTGCTTCAAAATCTATCTGCAACATCAAAACCCTTCTTGATGAGCCTATATCTTTCTGAAAGTCCATTTTTTGTATCCTCGGGTCTGATTCTCGAAAAATAAACGAAAAATAACAAAAAAATATAGAGATGGAAAGAGAGAGGAGAGGAGGAAAGGAGGGAGAAACAGAAGATCATATTGAGATAAGTATTTTTATAAATCAATATTCATACAAAAAACCTAAATCGTCCCACCCGGAAACGTCAAGGGGAATGTTAAGGGGAAGGGTAGAAAGGCAAACCTAAATTCCAAACCTTGTTGTCAGAGTTGGGAGGGGGGAGACGGCGCCATAGCTTCACGACCTAGACATTGCCTTGAATCCCAAAGAAGAAGAATAAGGATTACCACTAACCATTGATCAGATCGAGGGTTCGAATGGGCAAGTATTGAACCGAATGTTTACCATAGAAGCCTTAGTCCATCGATTTCAATTTTGGATAGATTATGTTCCTTGTTTGTAAAAAAAAAACATCGTCATTTCAAAACAGATTAAGAAGTTTTGAATTAAAAAAAAAAAAAATCAGAGATCAGATAAGGAAATAGGACAGAAAATGAGGAAGACAATCAAGACCGGAAGATATGCAAAGCACCGATTCAAATCCCTAAATTTTTTGGTTCTTAAACGTAGAATAAACAGGTGAAGATCACATTCCTATTTGGGTAATTTCAAGAATTCACTTAGAAAATTGAGCGGGAAAAATCGATTTGGGGAAGTTGATTGACTGACACGTGGCAGAAATTGTACTGTTTTATTAGAAGATAAGATATAAATATATATATATATATATATATATATATATATATATATATATGTTTTATGCAACCCGTATAAAATACGGGTCTCATAACTAGTACTATAATAAAATACTAGACATTAGGTGGCTATGCTAACCCAATGGTATTAATTTATATTATTATAAATTAAACAATCAAGCATGGAACAAACCACATCACATATATAACAAACAAACACATACATGTATATGATTTTTTTATTGTCCAATAAGAATTGTAGATTTTAAATATATCTTCATAAGCATATTCTAGCAATATTTTATTTATAATATATACTCTCTCCGTCCCAATGTCCCATAATAATAGTCTATGTTTCTTTTTTGATTTGTCCCAAAATAATAGTGTACATCTAAAAATAAATATTCATTTTACCAAAATACCCTCATTATTAGTTAAATTACCATGAAATTTAATGCAACTACCATGAAATTAAATACAACAAAAGGGTAAAAATATCATTTTATTTAATAAAATTAATGGTAATTAATGTTTCTTTAATTTGTATTTTTTGTCTATGGATAATAATTTTGGAAGGGTGGAGTACATGAAACAATTAATTTCTAATTTTTATGAGAAATTAAATATCCTTCTACTCTTTATACCTAATATCTTCCTATATATTTAGATGATAACAAATGTTATTTAATTTAATTTAAATTTAAATTGAATATTAAATTTATACGTTTGTCATCATTTTAAATAAATAGAAAAAAAATAAGATCAAAAAATAAAAATATATTTACTTTCTCAATTTTTATTATTATGGTAAAAGAGAAAAGTTTGATACCTAATCTGGTGAGTTTGTTGTTCGTTGACCATATCACCAACCAACGGTTGACTATGATGACATACGAAGGGTATTTTGGTAATTTAATATCAAGGGTTGAAAAAGCTGCAGCACGAACTGAAATGGACGAATTAGCGACTTGGTTGAGTGTAATTTTAACATCTCTCTCTTGATCGCAATAACAACTGCACTCACTTCGCGGTTGCAGTACCCGTCGCCGTCGCCGTCGCCGGAGTTTCAGTACCAGCCGCAGTGCTCCGGCTCATACGGGCGCATACTCATAATTCATAAACTCACTCGAAGAGATCGCATTTTACATCTAACGTCTAAACCCTAATCACCAGTTGCTACGGTTTCAGATAACAAGACAAAGAAGAAAAAGCTACTGGAATTTAGGTTTTGAGGAGATGGAGGATTCATTGGAGAAGTTATTAGAATCGGAGTCATCGGAAATGAAGGATGAGCTGTCAATGGAAATCGATCCTCCGTTCAAAGAGAACCATGCGACCGCTGAGGATTGGAGGAAAGCGCTGCATAACGTGGTTCCGGCGGTGGTGGTGCTTCGTACGACTGCCTGCCGAGCTTTTGACACCGAATCTGCGGGTGCTAGCTATGCTACCGGGTTTGTTGTCGACAAGCGTCGGGGAATTATACTAACTAATCGCCATGTGGTTAAACCAGGTAAGCTGAGGTACTTCTTTTCATCATCAGCCACCACTTTTCAAATTTAGGGAAAATGTTAACGATATACGTGATCTCAGATTGAGAAACCTGAGAACATTGGATCAGTTCTGAAAAGACTGATTGTGCAACAAGGGAGTAGAAATTAGTAATCATGATCTTAATACGGAAACAAAAAAGTTACCTTTTCAATGCTTCTGGATACATAATGTATTATGATTAGCTTCTTTAAGGTGTTATTTATGGCTGATGTGGTTATATCTTTTGTAGGTCCTGTAGTAGCAGAAGCTACATTTGTAAATCGTGAAGAGACTCCAGTCTATCCCATATACAGAGACCCTGTGAGTCATTTTAATGGATCATAGATATCTTACGAGACTTACTTCAGTACCTAGGTTTTCAAACGTTCAATTTACTAATTCAAAGAGGCATTTTGTGAATGATAACAATATTATGTTTTCACAATTTTAGGTTCATGATTTTGGATTCTTTCGTTATGATCCTGCTGCAATTCAGTTCCTGAGCTATGAAGAGATCCCTCTTGCCCCTGAAGCTGCTTGTGTTGGACTGGAAATTAGAGTTGTTGGTAATGATAGTGGAGAGAAGGTATGATGATTATGTGAAGCCATGGTTGTGTACTTGTGTACATGATTTTTAGTCACACAGGGGTATAAAATTGAACACTATTGTCAATTTTCATGATCATATCTTTGGGTGAAACTTACAGATCTCTATTTTGGCTGGTACCCTTGCTCGTCTGGATAGGGATGCTCCACATTATAAAAAGTATGCTGCTTCACTATTTTTTATACTTTTTTACCTTTATTTATATCACTCGACCCCAAACCTAACTAATGTTAAACTCAAAATAAGCAAGGGCAAAAACGTAAAGAAAATTTCAAACTTGACTTAATGTGGTAATGTATAGACAACTAGATATCTGGATGTAGTCAGAAAAAATAAACAAGGGCAAAAAGGTAAGAAGTTTTCAAATTTGACTTAATGTAGTAGTAATGTGTAGTCTGTAGACAACTAGATATCTGGATGTAGTCATAGAAATAAGCAAGGGCAAAAAGGTAAGAAATTTATGATTATATTATATGCAATATGAGTTTAAAATTCATGTTTGAACTAAAAAGATCTATTTTTCCTTACTGTAGGGATGGATACAACGATTTCAATACTTTCTACATGCAGGTGAGCTTCCTGTAATTATTAAGCTTAAATTTTATGATTTTCTTCCAATCTTTTTAATTTTTAATTTTTAATTTTTATTTTTCCACACACACACACCAGGCTGCTTCAGGTACTAAAGGTGGTTCAAGTGGTTCCCCGGTGATTGATTGGCAAGGAAGGGCAATTGCATTAAATGCTGGCAGCAAGACTTCTAGTGCTTCAGCATTTTTCTTCCCTCTAGAACGCGTTAGTTAACAATTATCAAACTTTATTCTTATTATTTATATTTATAAAGTAAAAAATTAAAAAAAAAAGTTACATCTTATATAAATAATATCGTTGCAGGTGGTGAGGGCTTTAAATTTCTTACAAAAGGGAAGAGCTTCTGGTCAAGATAATTGGGAGGCTGTTTCAATACCTCGTGGTACCCTCCAGGTTTGTTTGTTTTAACTTTTAACTTTTAATTAAATGAGACTTCTTGAATCTTGATTTTGATTTTGATTACCCTTTTTCAAAATGATTCGTATTTACATTTATGCCACTGCTTTTATTTAGACAACCTTTGTCCACAAAGGATTTGATGAAACCCGTAGGCTAGGCCTGCAAACCGAAACAGAGCAGGTATGTGGTTTTATACTTTTATTCATCTTTTTATTCTTTTTTCTTTTTATTAAATAAAAAAAAAAAAAAAAAAAAAAAAAAACTTGAATTTTATTTGTGGATTATTTGTTAGCTTGTTCGCCATGCATCTCCACTAAGTGAAACGGGAATGCTTGTTGTTGATTCTGTGGTAAGTGATAAGTCTCCTTTCATTATATCTGTAGTTTTAGCAGTATGTTTTATGGGTGATGCCTACGTGGACATATGATGTAGGTGCCAGGTGGCCCAGCTTATAACCATTTAGAGCCAGGTGATGTACTTGTTCGCATGAATGGTGAGGTATGTATATGTATAAAATATAAAATATAAAATATAAAAATAAATCTCACCATATTTCATACAAACAAATACTAATTTACAACAAATGTATATACAGGTTACTACTCAGTTTCTGAAAATGGAGACTTTACTTGATGATAGTGTTGGCCAAAATGTTGAGTTACAGTTTGAAAGAGGTGGCACACCTTTAACTGTTCAGTTAAAGGTAAGATTTTGTAATTTGTAAAAGTCAAAATAGTAGTCAACGATACTAAAATCTCCATTATGTAATTGTTATCTTCAGGTGGAAGATCTACACTCCATAACACCAAATCATTTTCTTGAAGTTAGTGGTGCTGTTATACACCCTCTCTCCTATCAACAGGCTAGGAATTTTCGTTTTCACTGTGGTCTTGTATATGTATCAGAACCTGGGTAAGTTTAAGTTTAAATTTAAAGTTGTTTAAAATTTCTTTAGTATGATATGATAACTTAACTTTTGTCATATCTATATCTATGCAGTTACATGTTGTACAGAGCAGGGGTCCCACGACATGCAATTATCAAGAAATTAGCAAGTAAAGACATTTCAAATCTTCAAGACTTGATCAATGTTCTTTCTAATTTAAGTAAAGGAGCTAGGGTTCCTTTAGAGTACATAAGCTATACAGATAGGCATAGGAGGAAGTCTGTTCTTGTTACAGTTGATCGCCATGAGTGGTATGCTCCACCTCAGATCTACACCCGTGATGATAATTCTGGTATTTGGGTAGGAAAACAAGCTCTGGTTGTGGGTCCCACTTTGGAAGTTATTAAAGGTGTTGATGTTGGTGAACAAGTGGCTAATGGTATTACAAATATGGAAGATTCATCATCTGATAATGGGAATGGGAATGCTTCTGTTGCTGAACGTGTTATAGAACCCACTCTTGTCATGTTTGAGGTAAATTACAAAATTTTAACATTTGATTGGATTGATGTTGATGTATGATGTGATATGACATGGTAGGTTTATGTACCATCATCATGTATGCTTGATGGGGTCCACTCACAGCATTTTGTTGGAACTGGTGTGATTATATATCATTCACAAGACATGGGATTGGTTGCAGTTGACAAGAACACTGTTGCCATATCAGCATCTGATGTCATGCTTTCTTTTGCTGCCTTTCCTATAGAAATCCCAGGAGAGGTAAATTAAATACGATTATGAAACAGAGAAATTAACTTTTTAACTTTTAATTCTTAAAATTAAATCTCCTAATTAAGTACTTTTTCAGGTGGTGTTTCTTCACCCTGTTCATAATTATGCTATTATTGCATATGACCCTTCTGCCCTTGGAGCTACTGGTGCTTCATTAGTACGAGCTGCTCAACTTCTTCCTGGTAGGCAAAGTTTTGTTATTTTTTGCCATTTTAGTTGATACTGATTTTATTTTATTTTTTTATTTTAAAAAAAAAAATAGAACCTGGTTTGCATCGTGGAGAGAGTGTATACCTTGTGGGGTTAAGTAGAAGCTTACAAACAACATCTAGAAAATCTGTTGTGACAAACCCATGTGCAGCTTTAAACATAAGCTCAGCTGATTCTCCACGTTATAGAGCAACCAACATGGAAGTGATTGAGCTCGACACAGGTGCTATTACTAATCTATATCACATTCAATAATTTTAAAGAGATGGATCTTTTATTGTTTTATAAAATTTATGCAGATTTTGGTAGCAATTTTTCGGGGGTGCTTACGGATGAGGAAGGAAGGGTTAAAGCAATATGGGGAAGCTTCTCAACTCAGGTTTGTACTAATCATCGATCAAAAAACAAAAAGAAAAGGAAGGTTGGTTGGTTGGTTGGTTTTCTTTAGTCCTATTGGAATCACTAATAGGTCAATTAATGCTCTTGATATTTAAATCCTAATTTCAGATAAAATACGGGGTGAATTCATCTGAAGACCATCAATTTGTTAGAGGCATTCCTATACATTCCATAAGCCAAGTCCTTGATAAAATCATATCAGGCGCAAAAGCAAAAGGTCCCTCCCTTCTTATAAATGGCGTAACAAGACCCATGCCTTTAGTTAGGATTTTGGAAGTTGAGCTTTATCCTACTTTGCTTTCCAAGGCTAGAAGTTTTGGCCTCAACAACAATTGGATTCAAGTATGTTTCTTTTTTTAATTTTTTCTTATCGTCAAATTATATTTGTATAGATTTATATATATATATTTTTTTTATAAATTTGTTGTCAGGCTCTTGCGAAAAAGGATCCTGTGAGACGTCAAGTTCTACGGGTGAAAGGCTGTTTGGCTGGATCTAAAGCTGAGAATTTATTAGAACAAGGGGATATGGTGTTGGCTATTAATAAAAAGCCAGTTACATGTTTTCAAGATGTTGAAGATGCATGTCATGCATTGGATCTTTCTGATAACATGGAAGAGAAACTTCAATTAACCATATTTCGTCAGGTTCGTTTAATCAATTATATATATATGGTTCTTGTTTTTTTAGATTATTTTAATTCTGTTGAAATTGATGATTCTTATTTGTGGTTTTTCTCTCAGGGATGTGAAATTGAAGTTGTTGTGGGAACTGATATACGAGATGGAAATGGTACAAAACGTGTTATAAATTGGTGTGGATGTTTTGTACAGGAACCTCACCCAGCAGTGCGTGCCCTTGGCTTTCTTCCTGAAGAAGGCCATGGTGTATATGTCACCAGGTACCATTTTTCTCATATCTTTTACTAAATTACATTTTTAGTCCCTGAGTTTAGTTGGTTTTTGCAATTTTAGTCCCCAAAAATATAGTCATTTATTTTACTTGGGCAACAAGAACCAGAAAGGTTACAAAAACCTCAAATAAGAACTAACACTACAAGAGGACTAAAACTGAAAAAATCATCTATACTCAGGGACCAAAGATGTAATTTACTCTATATGTGTTTCATCAGTTTTATGTTTTAAGAAAGAATTTAATTGGGGTACTAAATAAAATTTGCAGGTGGTCTCATGGGAGTCCTGTGCACAGATATGGTTTATATGCTCTTCAATGGATAGTGGAAGTTAATGGGAAACCAACTCCTGACTTGGATGCTTTTGTTAATGTCACAAAGGTATTAATCAACATTTTACCCTTACATTCCAAAGAAAAAAATATATATATATATATATATATATATATATATATATATATATATATATATATATATATATATATATATATATATATATTCATCACACTCAACGTGAGAGGAGTTGGTTTTTTTGGCTTAACACATTAAGTCATTCTACTATACCAAGAAACTGGTAAAATGAAAGTAGTGTATTGAATTCTATCTTGGTATAGGAAATTGAAGATGGAGAATTTGTTCGTGTAAGAACAATCCACTTAAATGGGAAGCCACGAGTGTTGACACTGAAACAAGATCTACACTACTGGCCTACATGGGAGCTAAGATTTGATCCAGAAACTTCAATGTGGCAAAGAAAGACTATTAAGTCATTAGCAACTGGAGATAATAATAATAATAAAAATAATAATAGCCTTTGAAAACCATGTACATACTCCATATTTCAAAATCCTAAGTCCTATCTTATATATTTGTTTCTGGAGTTGCCTTAATTCAACTTCCAGATATACATATTATATAACTTATATACATTACTTCATGTACATTTCATGTCAAATAATTATAACAGTGTAATTTAATTTGCATTTTGGAATCATGGTTTTTGTTTCTTAGCCTCTTTGGTTATATACATATATCAGATTTAAAAAGATTATATATATATAAGAAAAAGGTTATGAATTACATTACAAGAATTCTGAAGGTGAATTTGCATCTGGCTTTCCATTGTCATCCAAAACACCTGGATGCTGCAAATTCTGCAAAACCTGTGGACCCAAATTCCCCAATCCATCATTCCCAGATCCAAAAAACTGACAAAAAACCCTAGCCATAACTCCAAGAATCTGCATTTGATTCTGGCAAGCATTAGCATGCAATTGCATCATCTGTTTCTCATGTTCCATTTGCATACTCACCATCTTCTCCCTCCATTTCATCTCCTCCTCCTCCCACCGCTCCTCCACCGCCATCCGCCGCCTCCTCTCCTCCTCGAATTCCATTTCTAACTTCACCCTGCTCTCCACTTCCCTTCTCCCCATCACCATTAACAACTCTTCTTCTTCTTCTTCTTCTTCTTCTTCAGCATCGTCATCCTTTTCTTTTCCATGGATGTTTATGTTCTTCCTTTCTTCTCTCGCTAAACCACCTTCCTCTCTCCTCCTCCTCTTCTCTTCTCTCCTCAACACAACATCTCTCAGCTCCAACATTTGAGCTCCGACTAACCCTAACATCCTCCCACCTACTCCTTTCCGAAGCTTCTTCACGTGAACTGAACCAGAATCATCGGTTTCCTCTTTCTCACTATCACCATCGTCATCGTTATCGTTATCGTCATCTTCATCGTTCTGCAATTCGTCAAAACCTAATCCGAAAAACTCATCTCCACCGTTACGTGAATACGCAAAACCGGAATCGGCAAATAGATCGCCGCCGACGTCGCTAAACCGCTTGTTGTCTCTAGATTCGAGCTCGATGTCGCCGAAAACTTCCTTATACTTCATGAAATTCTCCCAGTGATTCTCCCCGTCTTTCCAGTTGTATTCGCTATCCGAAACCCTAATTTTTTGCTTCACTCCTAAGTACTGATGACGCATGTTTTGGACTTTTATTGATACGTCACGCCATGACCACTTGAACGGGAAGCTGCTCGGGTCACGAAGGTGGTGGACGGAGTTGACATGTTCGGCGATTGGCTTGAATTTCTTTTCTCTGGTTTTTAGCTTCGCTAGGGCGCCGGAGGTGTCGAGGTCGGAGTATTTGGTCAGAAGCGTTTGTTCTTCGAGCTCTGACCACTTCTTGCGCTTCATTGGTCTTCTACTGACAATTGATCGGAAAACTCGGGGGATTTTACGGATTCATTGGCCGGAGTTGGAGGAGGAGCGAAAATAGGGGAAGGATGTGTGAGAATATAACATCTGTTTGTGAGAGATTGGGCGAGGAAGGATGGAAGATATATATAAGTATTAATTAGCCCCTCGTCTTTCATAAGTTTTGCATTTATATAATGAAACAAATTTTTATATCAATTAAGGAATTGCGTAGAGATTTCAAACAAAATCATGTGTAAATTGGCCATACAACAAAATTAGTTTCGACAAATCTTCATAAATTGTTCATGTGGTATCTCGAAATCAAAAGTTTAGTCAATAAGTTTAAAAGTTTTACAAATAGTTCTTGTGGTTTCAAAACTTTTATTGTTTCACTCTGTGTTGTTAATTAAATGATATTTTCATTATTTGAATATGACAGGAACTATTTATGAAGTTTTGTTTTATTTAAAAAAAAGCAAAAAATAAAATATAATTATTTAATATAAAAGGCTCTCTCTCTCTCTCTCTCTCTCTCTCTCTCTCTCTCTCTCTCTCTCTCTCTCTCTCTCTCTCTCTCTCTCTCTCTCTCTCCAAAAAGAACCCATCTCAAGAATCTGAAATAAAAAATACCCATAATCAAATTTATTGTTGTTGGTTTTGAATAATTTGGATTTGAAGAATCCTCCACTATTTTTCACTCGACTACCTTTTTAGAAGCGTAGAGCCAAAGCCCACCACAACTAAGACAAAGGCGGTGGCTACAACTCGGGTGAACCATGTTCATGTTGTCGTCGACACCAATAAGCCACCTCTTATCCTACAACCACCATGCCCAACCATATATCACAAAACATATTCCAACTAAGATTAAGGGTAGCAAAAAAAAAAAAACATATTCTAATGTCTCAAGGGTAGGATGAAACATGTAGTCACTTATCCATCAGCCTCATCTTTGAAGACATATTCTAGTGTCTCTTGTGGAGCTTTGGGCTTAGTTGAATGCTCTTAGTGTGTGTGTGTGTGTATGCTTTTAGGAAGAACACATGTAAAACTTGGATTTTTGGTATGTTCCTTATTGCCCTTTCATTTTGAAAATGTTGCATTTTAGTCCTTGGAATAGTACGTAGGGCGTATCACATGGTACACTTAGCGCACTACCTGAAAAGCTACTATGTGGGGCGTACCACATGGTATGCTTATCGTACTAAGCAGATAGCGATCGGGATTGCGAGGCCTCGTAAGTTGGGCGTACGAGGGTTACGCTTAGTGTACGTTGAGGATAAGAAACCCTAATTTTAGGGTGTTGCATCCTATTTAAAGACCTTAAGTCCTTAGTGTTGGATTAGTGTCTAAGTCCATAACTATTTTGGTATGTACTTGACCCGATGGTGCATGGTCCTTTTGGGTTGCCTTCACCAAAGCAACTTGATTGGAGAAATATATATAGAGAGAGGATAATATGATATATTAATATGTTATACGAATAATATATTAAAGGAGAAATCATATTTGTTTAATTAATATTGGTCAATAATTAATTAGGAATTAATTTTGTGATTAAGTGTAATTAATTAAACTAGAGGGGCTGATTTGTAATTATGTGATAGTTATAAAATAAGGTAAGGATTATCTTATATATAGGGTGAACGAATTTAAGGAGATAATGCCTTAGAATTCGACTATGATAAGGATTCAAAGATTATCTTATGGGTTGCTTTGTGGATAAGCAACTAGATAAGGATAATGACTGAAACCCTATCTCTACACCTATATAAACACCCCTTGGCTCATGAATTCGTGTATCCCTTCCCAAGGAGTCCTAAGGACGAATTCTAACCTCTCTCCTCTCTCTTTATACCTTCTCCATTTGCTCTTGGTGTTTGTAAGCCATTAGAGGAGTGACACTTGTGACTCTAAGCATTCCAAAGTCAATTCAAGGAGATTTAGGATTGTTATTGTTATATAACAATCAAGGTATGTTCTTAAACCCATTCATATGTTAATATCGATTTCATATACTAGAATTAGGGTTTATAGTCTTGGATTCAAAGCATGTACAATAGAGAAACCTAGATCCAAGCATTAGGGTTTGTATGAGCACATAGGATGTCTTATGACCAAAACCCATCAGTGGTATCAGAGCCTAGGATGGTTTCAATTGTATTGATGCATTGTATATCTAAAAAATTCGATTTTTGATGTTTTAGAGGCTGCACTCGCCGAGTCCATAGCTGAACTCGCCGAGTCCAGGGTGACTCGACGAGTCCAGGCTTGACTCGACGAGTCAACTCGTCAGATAATGCTTATCTCGGGATTTCTTGCTGTTTTTGCATATGGATAGTTACCTTATCATGTTAGATCAATATTAATCCGATTATATGATATATTTGACTATATTTTTGATCTAAATGAAGATATTTATCAATTAATAAGATAATTGTTTCCTTATAAGATAATTGATTAATTATTTTGAGTAAATTGATAAATTGTTTTGCAAGAAATCATTAAATAAATCAAATATGGATAATTATGTGATTAAATGTTAATTTAAAATTATTTGTTATTTGATCCTTGTTGTTATGAAAAGTTTCATATTTTCCCTTTAGGTTTTATAGTTTAAATTTGAACCCAAAAGTTTTGAAGTTTTGAAATTTAAATAGTTAAAACCCTAATGTTTTGAAAAATGTTTCAAAACTTGCCCTCAAGTTTTGGAATTTAAAAGTTGATTAAAAGTTTAATTAGGAATGTTAAATTCTAAAACCCTAGTAATGTTTTGAAAAGTTCAAATACACCCTTATGGTTTTATTAATTAATTAAGGTATAATTAAAAGAGTTTAATAAATCCATAAAAGTTTAGGTTTCAATTTAATTGAATTAAAAGTATAATTGTTAAATTTGACCACCTAGTATTTTAAAAGTGTAAAATACACCCTATACTATATATATAACATTAAAAGTCTAACATTATATATATATATATATATATATATATATATATATATATATATATATATATATATATGTATGAGTAAAAGTCAGTCTTACCGTTAGTAGGCCTCATTCACGAAGCTGGTCTATAAGGGGTGTTTAAGGAAATTGCCTATAAAATGGCGATTGAATGGGTATCCACTCTTACCCACCGCACTCTTGACTAGTGGAGGGTCGTTAGCCGAACGGGTAGGATAGGACAAAACCTTCCATTATAAGTATAATGAAATACAAAGTAACTAAATGTTTTTCTAATTCCCAATCTTAGTTACTTAGGCAAAAGTGAATTGATGCAATTCCATGAAATTACACTTTGTGCCCTTGCGAAGACGTTAGTGGAGCGTGTGTGGTTTACCGGCACACTAAATGGTTCTAAGCAAAGGTAGCAAAGGGTGACTCAATGTTTGTCATAGTTCGGTGGAGCATGTGTGGTTTACCGGCACATCGAATAGGTGATTGTAACATGTGAGGGCACCATGTAAGTTTGCATGGTTATTCACACCCGCTTTGTGATCCTCGGCATCCCAGTCACAAACAAGAGGGGCATATCGAGATTTAAACATGCCATTGAAATGTTCAATGAATCTAAAAGGATCTAGGAGTTCTCATAGATTTAAAACTTAAATTTCTTTTTCGTTTTTCATGGTGGAAATTAGTGAATCGTCATTCACTTACCTTCAAATATTCTGCAACTAGATTACAGCATCCCTCTTCTAGGTTGTAGCGTATTGTCACTACTAGAAAAAAGGCCTTTTACGACGCTCATTGCGCGTCGTAAAACGCTCAGACGACGCGCAAATGTATGTCAAGGAAGGCCCTGTCATAAAGAGAGATGACGCGCTTTTACGCGTCGTCGCGCATTTACGACGCGCATTTATGACGCGCGGTTATGACACGCATTGCGTATCAAGGAAGGCCCTGTCATAAAGGAAGACGACACGCATTCGCATGTCGTAACCTTACGACGCGCGTGTTTATGACACGCAATGCGTATCAAGGAAGCACTAGTCAAGAAAGGCCATGTCATAAATGAAGACGACACACATTCTTGCGTATCGTAATTTTAATTTTTTTTTTTTAAAATATATTTATATATTTATTAATTTATAAATTAAATTTGCATTTAATCTCTCATAATAGAAATAAAATACCATATATAAAAAATACAATCCATTGCATAATATAAAATAAAATACCATATACAAAAAATACAATCCATTGCATTTAATTTGTATGTATAACAAAGACACATGTGTTAAACTTGTTACCATTAACATCTAATCGCATGGACTCGAGTGTTAAACTTGTTACCATTAATATCTGATTCATAAGTCCTTTCAACTAGATTGTTACCTGCATAAATGAAAACAAACAGGAACAATAACAACCCAGCTATGAACAATATTGTTACCTGCATAAGTTACTAAGAGACTTATATACTCAGCTGGTTTGTAATATGGCACTAAGAAGCCCAAGAATTGTTTGTGTTTTTCCTACTCCTGGTGGATCCTACATAGAAAAAAGGTAAGAATTAACATTTTCAAAGTAAATATAAGAAAAGGGCATTATAGTAATTACCTCCATGCAATACTTAATGTTCTTCTGGATAAGATGATTTAGAATCTCTGGTACATATCATAAGGATCCCAAAATCATATAGTTGGTTATTGTTTGATTTGTTATTTAAACATTATACCCTTTCCAAAGAAGAGTTGGGAGTATGTTTCTATTCTAGATTAAATAAACCATCTAATTAATGAAATGAAATGATCATTTTACCCTTTCCAAAGAAGAGTTGGGAGGAAAGAAAAAAAGAAGGGAAAACAAGCATAGAATTAGTGTTTTAATACATTAAGCCTGAATTTTTTTTGGCTTAACCCATCAAATCATTTTGTGTAGAATAAATCAAGATTAAGTTCTTAACCCATTAAGCCCATTAAGTTAAAAAAAAAAACCCCTTAATCTAATAATATATATATATATATATAGTATGTAAATGGATGTTTCTT